TCCCTCCGGGTCTTCGGAATGTGTCTGAAGGGAATGGGCAAAGCTGTGAAGATCACACACAGTGATAATTCACATACAGATTCACCAATAATGGTTGAATAAAATGCACCTGCTCATCTTTCCTAGCTATCAAAAGAACATTTGAACAATTCTTCCCCGTTTGGCATAAAATTCAAATCAGACAGAGAAGTTCCCATGTCCAGTAGGAAACACTTGTCAGTTCAGCAAGGGTTCTGGTGTGGTGAGCCCCTGGCACCACAGCAGATCCTGACACCCTTAACAATCCATTTCTAATGTTCTTTTTTACAAATGGCACATTGATTGCTTCCAATCGCTGTCCTGGTGGCCACCCCCTTCCCTTTGGTTCTGGGGCTCCCTGCACTTTTTCCCACTGGGAGTTGCAAAAACTGCCATTATCATTGCCTGTATTTTTACCTTTTCTTCATCCCTTCTTTATATATTTTATATACCTGAGATGCCTTTCTAAACAATTCCTGGAAGGGCCCACTCAGCCTCCTCTCCAGCTCCTGCTTCTGCTGCCTGTGGGCTCGTAACCTCCCAAATTCTTTGCAAAATCATTCACCTCTCAGTGACTCAAACAAAATCCCTTCTTGTATCAGGCCAGGCTTTGGTGACACATTGTGTCTTACACCGTATACCAAAGCAGATCGCTGTACCTTACACTGCCCACCCCGCCGCTCCCCATCCAGCCGCAGTGTCCACACACCCCCAGCACCCCCGTCCAGGCCCCCGGGCCACTGTCCCGGCACCAGCAGCTCTGGGCAGCAGCAGGTGCTGGCACAGCTCGGCAGGCACAGCCGGGGTGTCCCAGGGACGGACAGACGGACGGAGCATCCCGCAGCCCCAGGGCCGCTGCAGCCGCTGCCTGAGGGGCTGGGCACGGTCCGGGCTGAGCCCCGACTGTCACAGCCCCGGACTGTCACGGCCCCGGTTGTCACTGTCCCGACTGTCACATCCCCGGCTCACCCCACACCTCCCCAGGGGCCCAGCCCTGCTGCCCCTCCTGAACCCTCACACCGGGCCTCGGCCCTCCTCAGCACAGAGAACCCCCCTAAACCCTGAACCGTAAGGGGACAAACCCAAACCCTCCACCCTGGCTCCATGAGGGCCCGGCGAGGGGTGGGGGTGTGGGAACAACGCCTCCCTGTTTTCCCTCTCCTGGAAGCCGGGAATACAAACGAATTGCAGCTGGCCCTGTATTAGACCGCAGATTTTGAAGATAAGGC